ATTTCAAATTTAATTTCGAATTTTCAAGTGGTAATTAGTTCTTTCTTGAACACGACTTTTCAAAGAGACATCTTTTGTGATATTCATATAGCACATGATCAGTTATTAAAACAAATCTAATTCATTAATTATGTCGATAAATGGAACACTTTTCAATTCGATTTTTGTCAAAAAACAACTTATGTCATCTGGTTTATTCAATAAAATCTTTTACAAAGTAATGCAAGTAGAAAAAGTTACAGTTTATACAATAAAATCACACAGTCATCAGTATCCCACCCATCAGCTACAATAATCTAGTGTACAATAACACGAATATAATCAATATATCGTTGTATGATGTAAATCGGAATTTGTTGCCAAGCTTTTAAAACAAAATTTTCAAGTTGTTTTTGTGTTTTTGGACGACGTGATTCTCTAAAATGCTTCATCCAAGCCCATACTGGTTCGATAGCATTAAGTTCAGGACTAACTCATGGATAATCATCTAAACATTCGATATCATTTTCAATAAGCCAATTATGAATTAAATTCGTATGACTTCATGTTGTACGATCATGGATAAGAGAATAATGATGTAAGACTTGAAGATAATTACCAATGGCAAGTTGTATATGATGTAGGTAAGTTGTTGAATTACTACTTCCTTTAATAAAAACTAAGCGAGATTTACCATGGTACCATATGGCTCCAAGTACATTTACATGATATTTTATTTGACCAATGAATGTTTTTGGACGACGAGCACCAATTGATATCCAAAAAAATAGTTCCTGCTTTATCAATAACAAATTATTTTTTGTCAGTAAAGATGACATGTTGCCAATTATATGCTTCATGTGTAATTGCATATTGATATCGACGTGCAGCTTGTATTTCATTAATTTCCCCATGAGTTCTTGCGTGTACCGGATGATAATTTTCTCTTCTGCGGACACGTCGAATAGTACGAGCATTAACTATTATACCAGTGCGAGATTGTAAACGAGTACATATGGATGATGATGTAGCTGTAGGATATCTTGATAATATTTGACGAAATTATCGTCGAACTGGACCACGAATAATTACACGTCTGCCTCTACCTTTTCGTTCTAAAACATTATTTGTTTCTTGATGCAAATTTGTAACTCGACTAACAGTAGAAACCGAACATTGTGATTTACGTGCAATTACTTGCAGTGGTAAATTGTTATCAAAATGTAATACAATAATTCTCCATCTTTGTTCAATAGACAAATTATTGGGCATAATTATATTATAATTAAATTTGATAAATGACTATACTAAAATACTTAAATCGTTAATAAAAAGTTAATATTACTGACCGATGCAATGAACATTTATCGCTATAGTCATTGGAGGAGATCTGTTCCAATCACTGCTTATGTGATATATGAATATCACATTGTGATATTCATATAGCACATGATCAGTTATTAGAACAAATCTAATTCATTAATTATGTCGATAAATGGAACACTTTTCAATTCGGATTTTTGTCAAAAAACAACTTAGGTCATCTGGTTTATTCAATAAAATCTTTTACAAAGTAATGCAAGTAGAAAAAGTTACAGTTTATACAATAAAATCACACAGTCATCAATATCCCACCCATCAGCTACAAT